TGCGAGCAATTGAAATACAAAGCAACACTTACGCCCAAACTATGCAATTAAAAATTCCTTTCTGTTGGGCGCCCTCAGCCCTCATTGCGCATACGCCACGTTGAACGTTTGGCTAATTGCCAAACGGCGGCTGCTGTTGCCGTTCTGCATGCTGCTTATTGCTGCTGACTGCTTACTGCTCACTGCTGACTGCTTACTGCTGACTGCTTACTGCTTGGGTGCAGTGCTTGCTTTTGTAATCGGCTAAAATTTCGATTTAATTAGATTACCACACATACCTAGACTCAGATGGTTTCGACAAAGCCCAAGCCTGCAGCTTCGAATGCTGCATTCAAGCACCATTAAATTTTTTCCATTTTTGTGTACAACATTCGGCAAAGACAATAAAACCGCACCGAACAATTGCAGCCGTCGCATCGTCCCGTCGACATCTCTGGAAAATTGCCTTGACTAAAATATTTTTGTGCATATTTTTTGCTAGTTTGCTAGCAAACCGCAGCAATTGCATATTTCTATGTTGGCATTGTTATTATTATTATTATTCTTTTTATTGTTGCCACACATGCAATGAGGATGCGACCGACCTGTAGCTCAATTACCCCAATCTCGACGGCAGCCAGCTAATGAAATCTCGCAAATCATTTCAATTAAAATCGAATTTGTAATGCAACAAGAATCCAATGTAATGCCAAAAACCCTTTAGTATCGAATAATGTATACACTTTAATTTTATTTATTTGTGGTTTGCTTTAAAGTTAGTTTCTGTGAGAATTGTTGCAGATTGAATCTGAAATTATTATTATGAAATTATCGTGCTACATTTTAATAATAGTCCCTTGTTTATCTATAAAACTGTTTTAGATCGAAATAATCAGAGCTATTCTTTTAAATGAACAATTGCTAAGTTTTTTCATATCGGACATATAGTTTTTTTTTTAATTTTTATTCAACAGGGTATTTGGAAAGTTACGATAATATGTTGAAACACAGAATGCACTCATATTTTGAGCAGGTTAATATTTTGCAAAGCTAATAAACTTTACTGAATATATATACGATCAAATAATGGCGAAACAATATTTATTGTTGACCAATGGAGTATGCAATTATAATAAACAATAATTAATATTCAAGATTCTTAATTAAAAGGCAATAATAAAATGCAATTAAAAAAGTGAAAAGTAAAATGTAAATAACTCGTAATTGAAATCATGAAAATTAAAAGACAAATAATGATCTTATAAAATAGTGAAAAGATTGAAAAGAGTAAAAGATAAATAATTATATTATCAAAAAGTGAAAAATAAAAGATAAATAGTATAATATTGAAATAATAAGTAATGAGTAATGTAAAAGATAAATAATTGCATTCAGATGGGATGCTTTACAGATGCTTTGTAAATGCACAATGTTTGGCTGCCTGCCTAGTTAGGGTATTCAAATGCCTGAGATGCATTGGGCACACAATTGGGCAATTGTTCACACTTCAATCGGCATCGGCCTGTGGGGCAGACTGACTGTAGCTGCGGCTGTGACTAAAGGCTGCGTGGCTGCATGGCCATAATCAGTCGTCTAATCAAAGCCAGCATTGACCTATGAGGCTATAGCGTTGCGCCTGGCTGCTTGCATTGGAAAATTACACAGATTTCGGGCATGGGGCACATGTGCAGCAGCTGCTGCTGCTTATTGGGAATCATGCAGCCATGCAGCCAAGCAGCCTTCATGGCTCCATCAACGAAATCATCAGCCAAATATCAAACGATGCATATTTTATGTCTGTCATTTGAAATTCAAAAGCGTGCCGAGCAACGGATGCGTTTGACTGTCATCTTTTTCGGGGTTTTGACGGTATTTTTTGCCGCGTGCGAAAATGAGCAGCTGAAACTGGGAATTTTAATATATGCGCCCAGTAGCCGCTCTCTAGCCGTGCCCTGGGTTACGGCAACATTGTTTTTGGCCAGAGACTACCGATATGAACATGTTCAACACGTTTGGCAGGCAGCTCCGGGCTTGCGCCTGGGTCTGGGTCTAGGTCTGTCTAGCGCTTGTCTAGCTGCGGCAACTTTGCCTTTTATTGCATGATCTGTTTTTGCATACTCCCCAAAGGCTTCGTCCTGACCTGCAGTGTCCCATGGGCAGGCATAGTCTACTTTTGGGCGTGTCTAGCATGCTTCAAAAAACCAAAAAACAGAACGAAAAAATGAAGGCATAAAAACGCTAACGAAAAGTCAAAAAGTTACAAGCGGCAAATTACACGCGTCTGGCAAGTGACTACCCAGCGCCTCCCTCTCGCCCGCCCCGCCATTCGCCCAGTTTGGTATCCATTGAGACCCAGGCAGCCGGCATGAACCGCTGTCTGTGTTACCTTTGCCAGTTATCTGCTTGGCAGCCCAGGCATTAAAAAACACAACCAGACACAGGCAGGCGGAGTCGTCTGCATAGCATCCAAGTGTCGCACCAACAATTTAGCACGCCTTTTTTTTTATTTTTGTTACTCTGCTTCCTTGCCAGCCACAAGGCAGCTCCATGTTGCAGTTAAGTCTGCTTTATTTGTTGCCTGCTTTGCGGCGCCTCTCACACCGCCCTTGAGGAGGAGCTGGCGGCGACTTTAATGGGAGTAAGTGAAAGTTTGTGTGTTGGAATACACATGAACCCATTCATACAATTATTAAATGTAACTAACTTGAGCACATTTAATTTTCTTTGTAAACCTGATGCTATCTAGTTTTGGATCTAATATAAAATGACAATTCAGATTTTTATAAATCTATATCTATACTATACTATAGATAGATAGATATTTGGATAGTTGATTTTATTTTAAATTCAGCAAATTTTCTATCATATAAACTGATAATTCATTCTTTTAAAAATGTTATTAAATATTTCTTTTAATAATTGGATTTATTTAAACTTGTGGAAATTTAATATTCTTCGTTAGTTTAAAAACCCTAACTAGTTTAGGATCTTAATTGATATGAAAATGCATTCTTTATAAATATTATTTTATATTTATTGTAATTATTGGTTTTAATTAAGCTTAATTTAAAAAGCTGCAGGTAATTAGTTTTGAGTTTAATATGAAATGACATTTCATATTTTTATGGATATTGATATATAAATCTTTTAATTATTGTATTGTTTTTAAATGTGAAGAAATATAATTTTCTTTGTTAATTTTAAAACATGAAGTTAACTAGTTTTGGATTTTAAAATGAGTTGTTTTATAAATATTTCTAAAAATATTTTTTAATAATTAATGTTGTTTTAAATTAAACCTTGGTCTAATACAGTCAGCTACTTATAAACACTTTATATTCAATATAGATACTATATAGATACTATAGAGACAAGTTAAGATGTAAAACATTTATATGAAAACTTTTTGTTGATTGATTGTTGTGTGTTGTGTGTTGTGATTATTCACATTCTGATACTAACAGCTGCTAGTTATTAATGATACAAAAGTTAATATCCGTTTGTGTAATCAATTTATATTTAATGCACATTTTGATAAAAGCAAAAAATATAAATCGAATATTATGCTCTTCATTAATATTTGGCTTTTTTATTTTACTGTATGTTTGCTATTATTATCATAGTTGGAGAGCATAAGAGTTCTCTAACATCTTCCCATTCTTTTCGCTTTCCCACTTTACAATTACCATTCGGCCTGAGCATATATCAATTCCTATATTACTATACATCTGCCATGTGAGGACACTTATTCGAACTTTGAGGCACGGCTGTGAATTTCTTTGTAAGCCATTTGTTTGGCGAAACCCTTGTACGGAAGCCAAATGTTTAGCTGGCAGTTGTTGAAAATAATCAAATATTATTGCTGCTGATTTGGGCGTACTCGTATTTTAGGTAAAACCAACAGCTGTTGCCAGATGAGACAAAATCCGCTCCATATCCCCCTAAAGTATGCTCAAGTATTGCATGTGTGTGTGTGTGTGTGTGTGTGTGTGTGTGTGGGTGTGAGTCCTTCTTATGCCTTTCTGACATATATTACGCACAGCACTTAAGTGTCTTTGATTATTTGCAATTTGTTCGATTTGGGACTTTCGCTTTGCCCACTTCAGGCTGCCTGACAGTCAGTTCAGTCGATATGGAAGTTATGTAATCGTTTTTGTTACCATTGACGCCAAGTGTTGCCAACTTGTGTGTGTGTGTGTGTGCGTGCGTACTCGCGTGTGTGTGTGTTTGCCAGGCACTCGACTAGTTTCGGTAGTTGGGCAAACAACAGCTTGGCTTTGCTCTACGGTTATTTCTGTTTGCTTTTCTGGCTACAGATTTAAATTATGAGCAGCTAACAAAGTTTGAGCATGCAATCAAAAGCAAATCCACCTCACAAATGTATCAGTGGAAAACCGCATGATAAAAACTCAGGCTAAGCTCAGCCAATGCCCCGAAAGAAAAATGACAGCGGACAGCAGACTACGGAGAACGCTTCCATCAGCCCCCATCCACCCTCCCAAAATTGCTATGGCCAGGACGTGTGCTAGGACAACACATCCTTATAAACAAATTTGACATATAACAAGCTTAACTTGTTGTCCTTTGTGCGGGCTTTTGTCTCAGTGTTCGTTCAGTGCGTCGAGGTTCAAAAAGCTCAAATGATTTGTATGCTGCTGATTTATGTAGGCTTAGGATTTGTGTACTAAAATCACAGCCAAGATTGGAAAACTGAACAAACTACAAATAAAGTGGTTACAGGCAATAGGAAATAAGAAATTGTCATCCCCATTCAATTTCTTCAAGTATTAGTTTGAATAGTCGTAATATAACTGTTTTCACTTGTGCTTAAATAAATAAATTCTATTATTTACTCTCTCAATTTTGTTAAAGAATATTTTTTAAGTTTTAACTTATATTTCCTTTTTATTTTAATTTTGTGGAAAACAAAGGAAATATTATCTTGTTCATAAAAATGAATGAATTCTTCGGTTGATTTTATAAATAGTCAATATCACAATTAAGACAGACAGGATACTTACAAGCAACACAAACGATTTGAAGGACATCATTTTGATATATTTGTATTAAAATGGCGTTGATTTAGCTCCACTGAGAATTGATTTTATTTTTAATCCGCGCTAGATTGACAGTAAATAAAATTTGAATAATTAAAAAAATTAAAATATATTTTGAAATATTCGAACTTCTAACTAAGATTCACTTTCAGTTACAAAAATGCTTAGAACGCATTGAATATACGTTTCATTCCGTTATTGAGTTTCAGTAGCTTTTAGCACACTTTAAAGCACACACACACACGCACAGACTTAAAAACGTCCTTTTACAACACTTGCAATTGAAATTGAAATTGAAATTGAACGCCTCTCACTTTCAACTGGGCCAACAGTTACAACTATTGTTATGTAATTGTTGTTGCTGCTTTTTTCTATGCCTGGCAGCACAAGTACCGCACAAAGTACACGAACGTTTTGAATTAGGGTAGACAATGGAGATGCGCTTGCTTTTTATAATCAACGCGCAGTCGCAGCCGCCAGCAGCGGTGCTGGCTGCGACAGCGACCGCGACTGCGGCAGCAGCAGCGACATCGCGTTGCCAACTGCACCCAAAAAAAATAGTAACGAAAAATGTTGTACCAATGCCCAGATACAACAATTGAGGCAGGTTCATAGCGCTGAACTTCTAGATCATCTTCATAGAGCCAACAACAATAGTAGCTACAATCTCAACTTGCTCTCGCTCTCTCTCTCTTTCGCTCTCTCTCTCTCTCTGTCAGAATGACTCGACAGCAGCGAGTGGGGAGCATGTTGCTCTTCGCTGCTCAGCGCTGAGAGCGTTTGTTGAGTGTTGAAGTGAAAAATGTTGCAGATCATCGACAGCAACAGCAGCAACAGCAACGGCAACGACAACAGCAGCTGGTACAATTGTTGCTGCTGCTGCTGATGATGATTGTTGATGATAAATGAATTGGCGATGATCATTAGAGCCAGTTGTAGCTTGGCGGATGTATAACAAGTTGCTTGAATTTTGTATTTTATTAAATGTTGCTGCCAGACTGACGGAGGAATTAGAGATTGCCTCAGGCAGCGACTTGTAAAAACGCCCGCAATGACTTCATTAAATGCACAAAATTTGATATTTAACTTTTATGACTGGTTTTTTAGTTCTCGGGCCCTCGGGCGCATCAGCAGCCTGAGCCTGGGACTAAACCTGAGCCGAAGCTGTTGCGGCTTGGAGTCGCCCCCAACTCGAAAATGTCACTGCGAATGCCAGATGAGCATGAGTAGGGCTGCTGCTGGGCGGTCTGCCCTTTGAGAAAGCCGAGATCCCAAGAACCCGGAGAACACCAACAAGTTGGCAACACCGAAACGTGACAGAACCGAACCGGCGAGTGAAAATTGCACAAGCTGTGAACGTGTTCACGCTGCTATCTATAGAGTATACTATTTGCAACGTGGTACGCCCTGCACGAGGCATGCTCCTCATGTTTGATGTCAAAATTCAATCTATGACGTGAGGCTCATGCTAAAAATCATAACTTATCTATTTGCCGCGGCTACACGATTTTGTCATGTGGCCCGGCCTGCTGATGTTGCACAAAGCTGGCGACGTGTGCCGCAAAGGGCTTCAATCCGATGCAACTTCTGCTCGGCTTCCTCTTTCTTCCGCCATCGGTTCAGGCCATAAACCCAAACTTTTTCAAATACCAATTAACCTTGGGAGCGTGGGCAAAAACAAAAATAGAAAAAATAATGAAACGATTTTGATGTACCAGAGACAAGCAAATATTAAATAACAATTAAAAGCAATTCATTTTTGATTGCTGATTTCAGCGGCTGTTATGATTTTATTGCCCACTTATGATATTGTGGTATGAAAAGAGTTGGCAAGGGAAAAACTTGAATGTAGAAGCCGACCACCGCAAGTACTTATAAAAAAAATAAATACTTAAGTGGCATAAAATGAAAATATGACGAACAAAAACTTAATCACGTTGTTTAGGCTTAAATAAGATTAGTTGCGTTTCTTGTGCCTGACTAAATTAACACGGATTAGTTTTAATGTTGCCAATGAAATGAAGAGTCTGACTTGTGCCTGTGGTATATAAAAGTTGTACTTTATGAAATGAAACAAAATAATAGAATATATTTAATTTAATTAAATATTGCGTTTCGTCTAATGAGAGTCGTGAATAATAATGCTCTTGTCATAACAAATATTGACAATGAATAATATTTAAAGAAAATCAATCTGTGGCATACCTTTCCTTATATTTTCAACTCAAATTTAACATAACATCGGACCCAAAATCTGAAATATATGTTTTAGGGCATTAATGTTTAAGTTCAAAATATGGGATAAGCATATGTAGCCACAGAATTAATGCATATAACAGCATAATCTTTTTTATATATCCATAATTAATATTTGATGGATCTGCAAAATAAATTTAATTACTTTACGAACTAACAATGTACACACTTTTATCATCTATGGAACTATCCAAAAGACACTCTTCTTTTCAAAAATAATGTTACTTTTTATTCCCAACTGTTTAGGCATTGGCAAAGCAAGTTATATTCCCAAAAAGAGTTTATATCTGATAAATATTAATAAGCTTGTTTTTGAACAGTTAAGGAGTAGAAAAATTATAAAGTTAAGCCATGTCGAACTTTTCTTAAGCCTCGTAGTGCTCACTTCTTTTGAGCTATTGTATAATATACAATATAAAGGGTTAAAGATATTTATAGTTTTGGCTGATTCGATTTCCGTGACACTTGAGCTTTGTGGTATTGTAGATGACTGTCAAACTGTCATAACAACATAATACCCGTTAACAATAACAACAAAGGAAACCACACACACGTATACACACACACACACACACAGATCAGACCAGTCCCAATTTCAGTTTCAATGCGCAATCCCCAACTCGAGCCATGCGCTCGAGAGCTATGAAATTTCTTTGAGCATCACTCAAAATGTTGGTGGAGTGCATTTTGTGGTAGCTGCGATTACGAAAAGATTATTTAAAATGTAATTAGAGCAAATGGCATTTCATAAATTATAAGTGAGGGCAATGATGAACGTTTTTGATACAAAACTACAAACTTGACATGAATTTGCGCTTGGGCAACATTTGTTACTTCATGAAACTTTTGGAAGCGCCAAAGCTGTCATCGCAACTCCGAAGCACTTCCAAACTTGCAGTTTTTCAAATTCAATCGTTTGTCAAGTCCAAAGACGATGACGAAGTCAAAGCCATTTGACTGGCCGAGGGGGCTGGTCAAACGGGGTAAGACCCAAAAACTTGGCAACAGCTTCAAGTGTACAATGCGAACATCCCGTAATTAATAACGTGATGTGCTTCGGGCCAAAACGGAAGCAAACAACAAAAGCCAAAACAGAGCAGCTGCGAGACAACTCCTAAAGAGACAACAAAAAGAATATAGCAAAAAAATTTAGCTAAAATATGTTGTTGATGACATTTTGCAGCCCGTGTTGTTGTCGTGTTTGTTGTTGTTGCTGCTATTGATTATTGAATTGTTGCGATGCTGCACAAATTAACATTTAAAAGAACAGACAAAAATTCTGCAGTCGCTCGCCAGTCGCTTTGAAGCATTTAAAAATGTTTTCATACCCTGTTAAAACACGAAGGCGGGTAGATCATTACACTAACATTTATAGAAACGACAACTGCTTACATATTTATATAGCATTGGGATAAATGTTACAATGGAGCACACAAAATACCTCAATTATTAGAAGCTATTGACCCTAGGCCTTAACTTAAGTAATGGGAGCTATATATTAATCCAGAGTTACTATTAATCCCATAAAAAATAAAAATAGTACACAGAGAAAAACACTTTGGATTAATAACAAGACTTTTCGTACTCGATTCCAAAAGAAAAAAATGCTTAAGGTTTTGAGCCTGAATTGAGCTAAAAGTTATTAAGTTTAGTGTAATTCTCAGCTAAGATTCAGATTAGCCTTAAATAGTCTTAGAAGAAGTATGAAAGTGATTGGATCAAGTACAAAGATATCATTTTAAGTGGCATTTGTACTGGATTCAAGTCTTAATCAAAGTGAATTCAAGTTTAAAGGTCTCTGAGTATATTAAGTAATTTAAGTAATTATAAGTTCATATCAGGCAGTTTTTTGTTTAATTAAATTTTGGAAATATTCTAATTTAGTTGAAAAAAGTTCGGTTTTTGCAAACATATAAATAATTGGTATCTGCCCGTTGATAATGATCATCGTAATGCAAATATTGCAGCATTTTCGATTTTCCGCGAATTTGTTTTTGCGCATTTCGTGCAACATTTAGGCGAATCACCTGTTGCCCATTGTTGTTGTTGTTGTTACTTTGCTGGGGGAATAGAATAGAAACCCCAAAGACATTCCACGTCGATGCGAGGCGCACCTATTTTGGCCAAAACTGAGTGAATTAGAATAGCCAACTATGTAATTGCCGCGTTTATTGCCCGAGTCAGCTATTGTTGTTGTTGGTTGTTGTTGTATTTGCTTGGCTGCTGCCGTGTCTGGTGTGAGAAGTGGTTGAAGTTGCAGTTGCAGTTGAAGCCCGTCCAGATGCGCCAGGTAATTTGCATATTTTTGTGAGGTGTGGGCATTACCTTTTACAAATGGGTTAAATGTCTTTTGGCCGACTCGGCTGAGCGAAACAACTAACCGAAGACTTTAAATACGTTTCTAGACCAACTTTGGTAGCAATTGGTGGTAGCTAAGGAAAAAGAAAAAAATTCGTGGTATTTTAGTAGAAGAGTATATTCGGATATCAGCAAGGCACTTAAATGAACGGTAACAATCACTCTTTAAAATATAATCAATATATTGTATGATTCATAAAATAATATATGTAAAATGTTACAAATAATGAAAATATTTTAAAATTAGTAAATTACATATATACAATTAAATAAATATAATCGGCAAATCATAAATAAAAATATAAAAATGAAGGCTAATACATTCGCGTTTTTTTCGCGGCTTGATGCTTTCAATTTCCAACAAATTCTTGAAAAATTAAGAAAATCTGTTCATA